GAAACTGATAAGCGCGCGTACACAACTGTAAATGTCAAATTGACAATTCATTCAGTCCGCGTGAATTCTGTTGGGAATTGTATTCAGTGAGTTGTAGGCTCAGACTCCAAATAAACGAACTATTTAATGAACCAGCCACGTAATCCGGAACATATAATAAACGGCGGATCACAATGGCTAAAAAAGGTGAAGAAGCTAGACTCAAAACTCCAAAAACAGCGGCAAGGCTGGCCTAAAATCTTAAACACGGCGAGAAAAAACGACAAAGATGAAAATCTGCAAAATTACGACGGCGAAGTTCAAATGTACGCGCGAGCACATTCTGAGCCACGATTGGCTAGTTAAAATCACCTGAAGTTACGCACGCGGACAAAAACTCGTACTAAGGCGAGAGGGGTGAGTTCAGAGTTCATAAAGTTCAAAACAAATTTTCTAAAGCGTGAAGTTTAATACTAAGACCAGAAATAATTGGAATCGTTATTTGAAGGAAATTTCAGTCAAAATTCTACTAATTTGCTCTCGATTTCTATGAGTCGATAGTTGATTCGGCCTACGGCCTCATCAACTATCATCTCGTAGAAATCTCGAGCTCATAATCTTATTGTTAATTAGTGTACAGTGGCTTGGTGTGGTCAACAAAATTGCAACGTTTCCTCGTTTCTCCGAAGTTTTGAAAGAACATTTAGAAACAAATGAATAAACAAAATTCCTGAGAAGACTAAAAGGAAGGCATTTACGGTCGAAATTTTTTAAAGAAACTGATAAGCGCGTGTACACAGCTGTAAATGTCGAATTGACAATTAATTCAGTCCGCGCAAATTCTCTAAAGCGTGAAATTTAATACTAAGACCAGAAGTGAATGGAATCGTCGTTTGAAGGAAATTTCAGTTAGAATTCTACTAAAACAATTAGATTATGAGCTCGTGATTTCTATGAGCTGATAGTTGATTCGGCCTTCGACCTCATCAACTATCACCTCATAGAAATCTCGAGCTCATAATCTAATTGTTAAATAGAAAACGATTGGAGAATCGATCAGATTCAGGGATTTCCAACAGAACACAGCTAAGTGGCCACTAATGTAGACAGTAAGTAACGCGGCTAACCCCATTACCGCTTTGATGACACTCGTTGTCTTCTGCAGAAATGTTTCTTCTCATTTGGAGACATGACCAAGGGCACCGAAAGGATTGAGTGTTATGAGACAAGGGAAATGTTAAGTAGGAATGTTGTTTCGTAGGATAGTCTAGTCTTAGACAAATTGAGGGTTATTATTCCTTTTCTTTCTGAATTCTCAGAAACAAAACAGACAGAAGTGTGTCAAATAAAGGAGGATGATATCGATGAACCTGATTCTCAAGTTGAAGCAGTTAAGGTGATTGCTTAATTGTCATTGTTATAAGTTTAATAAAAGCCAAATTTCAGACTATTACTACTAATAATAAAAAATATGTATCCTCTTTGAAATGATAGAATCGAAGAAATGGAAATGTTTACCGATTTGTTTTTTGTAGAAACCCTACAGGAAAATACTATTTGTTTTTGTAGGAACCCATACTTATCATTCTTTTTAGTATCGACATTCTTGTCTCATTGTCTTGTTCAAATATTTTTCTGATATTTTCAGCGGGGTAAAGATCTCAAGCTACATACTGATGCCCGCGATTTACCAGTAAGCGGTAGCACAGAAACCTTGTCGAGTCAATCAACTGCTGAACTTTTCTCATCAGCATCGTCACTGACGGGAATAAGCTTTTCCTCTTCCAATGACGCTTTCGGTATTTGTGATCAATTAAAAGGTGGAAGAGCCGGTGCTACTATGAAAGACAAAGCCGCCGACATGCCAACCAACAGCAGCAACCTAGAGTGTCGGTCAGCAAGTCTGGAGGACGCTCTAGAATGTGCGGCTTCCAGTGCTTTGCCACGTGTCAACGGATATGAGTCAGTGCTTTCATCACATATTTTAGCATCAGTAGCTAAAGCTGAAGCGTTAGATAACTATAAACTTGCTAGAATGGAGAGCACCGAACTTCCTCTTGGAGTCAACCAAGGAAACGTAATGAAAGGCATGCTAGTGACTGATGTGGAAGTATCAAGTAAACAATTTCCAAAATCTTTAGAGGCTTCTGAAGAAACAAGTTTCTGTTCTAAAACGAGAATCAACTGTTTTGACGCAATAGAAAAACCTAGAGAAAGCATTAAGCAAAATAGTGATTCTGGAACCATTGAGAGGTACGATGAGAATCAGATTCGAAAGCTTCAAGCGGCTCTGCAAAAGGAAACAGAATCCGAGGATCTGTTGAAACAAAGGCTGGTGTCCTTAAAAAACGAACTGAACAGTGCCGTGAATAATTCGGATTACTGGTTCAATCAATGCGTTGAGAAAAGAGAGAAAATCAAAGAGCTCCTTATTAATGCCCGAGAAATGAACACGTCCAACTTTGAATTGCGCCAAGAGATCAATAACAAGTCTAGAACTATACACGAAAAGGATCAGGAAATACAAAGACTCACAGAGAGCAAGACCGAAACGGAGATGCTGCTGCAGGAAGTGCGAGAGAATCTTTTCAAATCTAATGAAGAAACAGAACGTCTCAAAATGTTTATAAGGAAATTTAACAAAGAGAAGTTACGCACTGTACAAACCGACCAGCTCCCCCTGTTTAAAGCGTTAAAGCCCATTACTTTATACGAAAAGGCATTGGAAGGTTACAAGAGTAAGAATAACGAAAAGGAACATTTTTATACAACTCATAAAGGAACGGAAAGCGATAAGATTTCTAGTGGCAATGAAAAGGTCTTGTCGAGTGAAGTTAAAAACTCTAAGTATCACTTTGGTCCCATTAGTTCTCACAATGTCGTTACAAGGCCACCAAACACGGGTAATGCCTCAGTATGTGGCAATAAGGTGATAAGTAAATCTCGCATTCGAGATGAAAATGGGGGAAAAGATCTATTTGGAGCATCTTTGTCAAATAAACCCTCCTCGTTACGGGACAGTCCAATGTTGAACGATCCAGAGAAAACTAAGAGGGCCATAAGGGAATGGCTTAGCAAAGTTATCAGACAGGCAAAGGCGAAATTGTCAAGAGAGCCGAAGTCGGTCAGTTTCAGTGAAGATACTAACGCAGATGGAAGCTTGAAACGTGTTGCAGATGAAAAGGACGGCGCGAGAAGCTCACTCAGAGAAGTCGTAACTTCGTTCAAGGAGAAAATCTCAAAGGATGTTCCACGACTCCAAAAGAAACACAAGAAAAATATGCCTAGCTACTCAAGAGTTCCGATAACTAGCGAACACGACAGACAGGAAACTCAGAGATCCAAGGAAAGTGCGCCAAAAGGATGCTATGACTGGAATCGAAACGATACAAAGATTGATAATAGACCTTTTCCTCTCGTGCCCATGGATAAAAGGGACGACAGCCTGGTAAAACTGGCCGCTGATGTCTCAACAGATACATTTGACAGTATTGAGCCCTTTGCCAATTTTGAGTCAACTGACGTTTTATCGGCTGATAGCATAGATTCTATCGAGCCATTTTGTGAAGTGCTCATTCCTTGGCAGAATTCTGAAGACGCTGGAATAAAGCAAACGATAGAAGCATTCAAACGATCAGTTACAATAACCAAACAACATCCTGACAAGAAGACCCATCTTGGTAAATTCCTCTTAGCAAAAGGTGCGGAGAGCATTACTCTCGAAGAAAAGAAAACAGCAGCGCAGACTGCAGGTACTATACAAGAAAGTTACGCCAACATGTTTTTGCTAGCTTGTCTTTAGGATGTTACTCTATGTTAATGTGTTCATCGTGGTGCACAACAGGTAGCCCAGATTTTCCCTTGGAGATTGAAAACAGCGAGCCAAGAAAATTGCGCGGCCATATTTCCTGCCTGATTTATCCTCTTCTTTGCGGCTTTAGGGACTTTAGATTTAAGTAAGAGTACGAGATCGAGTACGAGAACGACTTTTCAATTCTAGTTTACAGGCTTCACATTATCACATCACATATTCATCTCATGCCATGACCCTCTCTACCTAAAACCAACATGAACAGCGAGGACTCTGGAAACGTCACTGGTTTGAAATTCGAAAATCGTACTCTCGTACTCGTAATCCAATCTAGAGCTCCCTAATATCAGAGGAAAAGTAACGATCTCCACCTAATAGGGGAAACAATCCTTTTGGAGTTAAATATGCCAAAATACAAAAACAAATCTTCTTTAAACTGTTTTAATTGATTTTGTTAATGTTGTTTTTTATTTCCCGTAAATAGTGCCCTATGATAACTATTAATGATAAAGGTAGTAACAATGACGACATATCACCGCTCGTCTAATCGATTTGTCCTTGTTAGTAGCTGTGTGGATATTGTTCAATCTTTTATTTCCAAAGATTTATACAGAGAAACTTATTTTAAATCTTAGTCTTTTTCACGTTCCCTTAATTTAAGGACACTTAAAATGTACTCAGCAGAAACATCGGCCGCCGGCTATTACGTAAATCTTACCTACGTGAATATCGGCAATTTATGTGTTGCTTAGAAAATCTAAACTACACTAAGGTGAGGTAAAATTATTTTAAGTGAACCAAAATTGCACACACTACATGAAGCTGATATATAAACTTCAGTGTTTTCTGTTTTAACTTAGTACCCACAGCTGGCTCAGAGGAATTGGTAATTCGCAATATAAAAGGCTGTTCTTTGAAGAGAGTTCATCCAGAACGAAAACCCAAGCAAGGGACAGAGGAGAACACAGCTAACACAGACCAAACCTCTGTTATTAAAATGCGACAAGAGAAACCACTATTAGACAGAAACGTCGAACCTTCTATCTACAACAGGCAATCATTTCAAAAAGAAAACAGAAGTCCAAAGCGGAGCATACTGGCTAACTATGTGCAATCATCATCTGGCCCGGCACGCACACTCAGTGATTCGGTGGATGGAACACAGCGACATTACTCGCTTGGATTCGTTACGGGTACAAATAAGGTTGTGCCATTTTCAAATGAATTAAGCATCGTTGAAAGGGACATCGAGCGTTTGATAGCTAAGCTGGATTTCCAAACGAAAAACTGTACTAAATTCCCAAGGAAATGGCAGAGTTCGCGAGAGAAGGTTTTACAGTTGAAAATAAATGATTCCAAATTAGAATCCTCGAGTGGGAGTAAAATAACTCTTTCTAATAACAATGGTTTTATCGACGCTATAACTGTTGAAATTAAGCTAAACAAGGAGCAGCTAATGAATGAATTCGTGGATGGAAAAATGATAAACTCACAGCAACCACAGGAGGAAAATACGACACTGAAAGCTGGAAAAGAAACACGTTTGACCACAAATAAGCGTTACATGCCAGACAGGCTCAAACAACTCGCTCTCCAAAGGTTGAACCAGCAAAGAAATGAGACGTCGGTTCCATTTCTTTGTGAGAAGCAAGATATCAGTGCTGATGGGTGCGAACAGATAAACAGCTTTGACACAGAGTTCACACAGCACAGGAGAATTGACACCCAACGTTGGATCAGCGACTTCCTGAAAGGTGTCGGTAGTCTAGAGACAACAAGCGAACTAACTGATAATGATCAAGGTAAAGTCAGAGACAAGAGCGAAGTTGAACATCAAAATGGAGAATCGAATTCCTTCGCGCCTGGTCCTAACCAGGCACTTCATGGGGCCTCAATAAAGCCGACATTCCCCTTGGTGGGCAAACACAATATCAGCAAGCCGAAAACATGGCAAACTTCCAAAATTTCATTAAGTCAATCTGCTAAAAACGAATATTCAAGGCAAGATAATCTGGAAACTGAGTGCTCTAAAAAAAACGCTTCGTGTAGTAGTAACAGGGGACAGCAAAGAAAAGCCGAAAGGGATGTACGAATTGCATTGTGGCAAGCAAAGAATGGATGTAGTGGAGGAATGTTGAAAGAAAGAAATATTCAAGATGGCTTGGTTGAAAAGGTAAGGCCCGGTTCATACGTCACATTTCTGCCGTGTCGAATTCAATTCAACGAATTAAATTCGAGAGAAATTCGACGTCTGAATCGGCTGCCACATTTCTGCCGCACGTTCGACTGGTCTTGTCGCATTATCCGAGAGAAGTGCGACACCGATTCAGACGTCGAATTTCTGCCGTGTCGAATCTAATGCATACATCATGTTAATTTACTGAGCATGCGTAAATGTTTTCCCGCCAAAGAAAAAGGAGAAACTTGGCCATTCTCGACCCAATGCAACCTGAACATATTGCAACACACACTCCTTCGTTGTGAACCTTCTCCTTGTCGTTCCATTGGCGGACAATTTTTCGCAAAATTAAAGTCCTTCGTCGCTCAGTATTTTCGTCCGCCATATTGAATACTCTACGTTTCCGCTGGCCGACATACCCGACAGTATGAATTCTGAATTAAGTGCGGCACAAGTGCGACGTATGAATCCACAGTCGCATTTCTGCCGCACTTAATTGAATTGAATTCGACACGGCAGAAATGCGACGTATGAACTGGGCCTAAGCCATTAATAAGGCCCGGTTCATACGTCGCATTTCTGCCGTGTCGAATTCAATTCAACCAATTAAATTCGACAGAAATTCGACGTCTGAATCGGCTGCCGCATTTCTGCCGCACGTTCGACTAATCTTGTCGCATTATCCGACAGAAATGCGACACCGATTCAGACGTCGAATTTCTGCCGTCTCGAATCTAATGCATACATTATGTTAATGTATTGAGCATGCGTAAATGTTTTCCCGCCAAAGAAAAAGAAGAAACTTGGCCATTCTCGACCCAATGCAACCTGAACATATTGCAATACGTACTGCTCCGTTGTCAGCCTTCTCCTTCTCGTTCCATTGGCGGACAATTTTTCGCAAAATTAAAGTCCTTCGTCGCTCAGTATTTTCGTCCGCCATATTGAATACTCTACGTTTCCGCTGGCCGACATACCCGACRGTATAAATTCTGAATTAAGTGCGGCACAAGTGCGACGTATGAATCCACAGTCGCATTTCTGCCGCACTTAACTGAATTGAATTCGACACGGCAGAAATGCGGCGTATGAACTGGGCCTAAGAAACAGCAAGTTAATTAGTTCCTCTTGATACATGAAGGAAGAAAGTCAAATGGTTTTGGATTTCATTGGTGTTTATATAATAAATAGAACGTTACATGGCCACTTGGAGATACGAAATTTCTTTTGTAGTGTTGAAAAATATTTCACTCGCTCGCTGGGCTAACTCGTGAAATATTCTCGTGAAAAGAAATTTCGTATCTCCGCGCAGCCAAGTAATATCCTCTATTTTTTAATAACCACATTATTCATTACTGCAACCTGTCCTAATCATGGAATCTGTGCTATTTTAGTTTAGTGAAATTCCCAAATTAGCAAAGCCCTGGACTAAAGCAAGTCAGTTGGCAGAGCAAACTAGTAAGTATAAGAATTGAGTTCACGTTACTACTCAGATACAGGTCTTCGATGGAACGTTTAAAATCATTATAGTACAAATATGCCTGGCTTACACTGTCTGTAAATAAAAACAATAGAATACTTTAAGAAAGGTATGTGATGACAATTTAATGAGTATAATTTGTTTGTCTAAATACGCCATTTCCGAATTTCTCAAAGCAAGTCTTGGTATGCATCCTTTCATATGAAAATGAGACTTCATTCACATGCAAATTAAACTCGTTTTCATATGAATGGTTGTGTGCCAGGCCTCGCTTTCATAGAGAGGCTCAGGTCGACTGGGAAATGGGCTATGAAGATTCATTTCTTAAAATCCTTGGTTACATGCATGTTTCTAGTGAAATTAAATACCGCTGTCCAGAACTCCTGCCTAGATAACCATCACCACTCAAATAGCGTGTTGTTCTTCAAGGTGTCATTGTGAAAATATTTTTTTTGTAATGTCTATAACTATGCCTATAGGACAAGTTGAAAACTTATCTAAAGATCCACATCTATTACATGATTCCAAGAAAGAGAGAAAAAAAGATTTCTTGGTTGAGATGTACAGATCAGCTCAAGGTGTGCTCAGTAAACAAGCTGAACAGGAAAAAGCAATTCAGAAATGTAAAAACAAGGTGCGTTTTATGACTGAGGAAATGGAAACACTACAAAGAAAAACTACCGAGCAAGCCATGTTTGACAAGGTGAATATAAGAGTTTTTCCATCTTTACCAGTTGTTCTTAGAAGAATTTAAGACATGAATGATCGTGGAAGCTATGTACACAACTTAAGCGGATGTGAAGACAGAGCCTGTATTTTTGTGGTCTTATAATACTTCGATTGTTATAGCTTTTTGCGCCCTTTTCTCCGTAACAAAAATTTAGAATCCTTCAAAAATGGTAAGCTTTCGTAAACTAAAGATAGCCTGCACCAGCAAGAAAATACTAGTGAAAAGCCTTTGGCATTCGGAGTGCTACCTCAGGTAGCTCCCGGGAAAACACTCAGGCTGACACCCGGGGTAACATTCTGGGTAACACCTGGGGTAACACCTCAGGTAGCACCCGGGAAAACACCCAAGCTGACACCCGGGGTAACATTCTTGGTAACATTCTGGGATAACACCTCAGATAGCACCCGAGAAAACACCCAGGTTGACACCCGGGGGAGCATTGCGGATAACACCTGGGGTAACACCTCAGGTAGCACCCGGGAAGACACCCAGGCTGACACATGGGGAGGCATTCCGGGTAACAGCTGGGGTAACACCTCAGGTAGCACCCGAGGTAAGCTCATTTAATAGCTTTCGAATGAACTCCTCTCCGTTAGTGTCAACATTGTTTACCTTCTATCAAATAGTGCATCGGTTAACGAGAGAGCGAACTGTTTGAAGTTTTTACGTTGTACATTGGACAAAGGATTGGAACAAAGGATAGAATGCAGGGAAACTCGCAAAACTGTGTTACCTGTGTTACCCAATGTCGCTACACCTTTTATAGGTCATAAAAAACAATTATTTTCTCAGTGAAGTGGCGTTTCAAAATCTACTTTCATGTTGCTCCAAAAGTAGTTTTATCTTCCGAGTTTTTTTTTTGCCTTTGAAGCAAAACCTTTTGTAAGTGAACTAAAGGCAAGGTAAAACGATCGATAAGTCCGTGAATATGAAAAATGAAGAAATTAAAGATTTATCTTTTTCAGGAAACAAAGATGACTTCTGGAAAGTACGTGACATCAATTCGCTGATGTAATAAAAGTTGCACACTAACCAAGAAAGTAAAACTACAACTGAGTGTAAACTGTATTAAATTAAAGAAATAAAAATTGGCATGGATATGTACGTTTGACAGGCAAGACATTGGTCAGTATAGTTGTATGTACAAGGACTTCGTCTTTTAAAAGAACTTTAATTGCATTTATATTCGGCTTGTGGGAAATATACAGTTGTTAACTGGTGCAAATAAAAAAATACACCTTAAAATACTGACTTTATTACACACCTGACTGGTATGTATATTCAATACACGTTGAGCCCTTGTTTTGTACGAAACCAGCAGTGTATGAATGATGACTGAATATTCGGTAGGTGCATTACATTATTAATCTGATGCCAGCACTGCCTGAGCTGTTGGTACGTGTCCAATGTTCGTAATTATGACCATTGTCTCTTGTGTCCTCCTAATATCTAATTTATATCCACACGAGCTAACAGATTCCAAACTGTTACCACTCCTCTCCGTTTTAAAGGAGAGCTCATGGAAATCTTACACAACGTTTCGATGTCGTCATGACATCATTATCAGGTGACAAGAAAATAACGGTTCAACAGTGTTATATATGCGGTGAGAGGTGTGATTGTTCATTAACATATTT